TCTCTCTCTCTCTCTCTCTCTCTCTCTCTCTCTCTCTCTCTCTCTCTCTCTCTCTCTCTCTCTCTCTCTCTCTCTTTCTTTCTCTCCGACCTCAGGTCTCTCTCTCGCAAACTCAGGCAAACAATTGCACGCAAACTCTGTCTGATTATTACCCAACGCGGTTTAGTCTCTCTTTTTACCTGTTATTTTAATATTGCAATATTATTTGTTGAAACATATTTTGTTATCTTTCTGTAATTTATTTTTTTCCTTTTGAATTCTGCTATGATTTTCAAAATCAATTGTTTGACTATTATTTTCTTTCCACTTTCTTAGTATGTAATGTTATAAAATAATAATAATGTTATATTACATCAATTATGTATACTAAGCAAACGTATGCAAATGTAATGTGGAATTATTACCAAAATCGATTAGTGTATTATAGTTGTGTTATAACAAGTTTTGTGACAATTATTTTGTATACCTGAATTTATGGAAATATAATAATAATAATAATAATTACCGGATTGAAAACATTAAAAGTGTGAAAATAAAAAATATATATATTTATAAATAATTTTAAATTGTGTTTATTTTTATATTGTAACAGATTATGTTAACTAATAATTAATTATTACTAACAAATGATGTATAAACTAAAAACTAAAGTCACACATAAAATATGCGGCGTTTGCGGCAATAAGGCTATTGGTAAGTGGAATTAAATAAATAACAAAGCTCATTTTAAAAAATAATTACTACACATACAGTATATATTATTTATTTATATATTGTAATCATTAAACTATTATAACTATATTGATTTACAGGCCATAATTTCGGTGCCCTATCATGCGAGCCGTGTAAAGCGTTTTTTCGGAGAAATGCTTTTAGAAATACCGTAATGAAAATATTTTACATTAATAATTACATTACAATAATTAATGCAAATATACAAATAATTAAATATTACTTTTCTAATTGCATATTGAAATCATAGCTGATATGTCACTTCAACTCCAACTGTAAGATCGATGAAATTACGCGAAAGTTTTGCTCGAAGTGTCGGTTAGATAAATGTCTGGCAATTGGGATGAGACGGGTATTGATTGATCAGATCTACGGCTAATTAAGTCTATATCTAAACCCAATGATCATAACTAATAGGATTGGTTGCCATCCGAAGACGAGTCAACACCAAAAACACGTAAAATTCACAGACAGACCGACAATAGTATGGGTAGCAAAGGGTTGGCCACAGAGTACTCGCCGGCCAACACATGCATCACATCCAACACATCCTGCGAGATGTGCGACGAAAATGATTTTATAACCGAAATACTAGACAAAGACAGCCATTTCAACGCCGATGAGCTAAACGCACAGATACTGGACTTGGAGTCTATTGTGACCAACGGTTTCGAGGACTACAACCGGCACCAGGAGTCGCAACCCAATGGCTACCAGTGCTGTCAAAACAGCCAAAACTCGGGCTTTAATACAAATACAAATTCAAACACATCGTCGGCCAAAGTGGAGGAAGACGTGTCCGAAGAGGTGATCCAGAAAGCGGTTGAGTTTGAGTTTGCGGTCATACCTATCGCTAGAGCGCCAGATGAATACCGGTGTCAATTCAATGGCACCGAAACCGGTATACTCTCCGAACTATTCACAGCCATACACGGTCTGGGCGTACAGACAGGCCAACTGTCCGACGAGTTTACCGACTTGGATGACGTTCAGCACTGTTTTGCTCTCAAGTTGGATTGCGCTATTCGTAAAACGACCAGGGCCATTCGCCGCCTATCGGCCTTCCGGGCCATTCCCATATCGGATCAAATATCGCTACTCAAACACGGATGTATCGAGATGATATTTTTAACCGGGTTTCGTAATTACAATATAACTAATAATTCATTTCATTTGTCCATGGTTTGTATTGCAATAGTGCATGTGCATATTTATGTGTTTATTGTATTTTTGGCTTTTACAGAACGGTATAGTAAGAGTAGTGAACTTTGACTATTTTAAACAACATTGTATACATTCAATGCAATATTACATAAAATTTGCGCGTAAATTGACAGCTGTCTGGGGTTCAGATAATTTGGTCCTTTATTTGGTACGTATTTCATGATTTATATTCATTATTGAATTTTATAATTTGATTTATATTTTCAATTATTCACACCATAGTTGATAGCCATCGTATTATTTAACCCGGATCGTAGCGATCTACAGGATCGTGATACAATAAAGTAATAATTTAAGAATACTATAATTTAAATTATTCATTTAAAAATATATATTAAATACTTTATATTAAACAGAACTCAACAACACGTATACATGTATTTACTTCAACGCTATTTAATACTGAAATACCCGACAGAATGTGAGGCAAAGTCGCGATTCTTGAGACTAATGGATACCGCAGTCAATGATCTGAAAATGTCAGCCGAGGCTAAGAAGAGGGAGCTCTGCGACGACCGACGCAAGACACCGGTCGGGCCACTGCTTCGGGAACTTCTGGACCCAATCCCTAAGCCATCTGAACATATGCTCACAGTTTTGTGATTATAATTTATGATTTATAATTATCGCAGACTTTATATACTTTATACACACATTTGGCAATTAGTGTTTGATTGCTAAATAGATGTCTGTTCATTACCTCAATGCTTTGTTACATGTAATTTATGTTTTTAATTGTATCTTATATTTTTACATTTATTAAATGTTTTATAAATATAAAAAAGCATATACAGTAAGTTGCTATGTACATGACATTATTATAATTAATAGCAAGTATAATTATAATTAACAAATATTTAATTGTGTGTTAAATGGTCAAATCAGTATAAGACAATTTTGTTTAAGTGCATATATACTGATTGTATTAGCACCTAAAATGATCACATTTATTTAATCAAACGTTTAAATCTGTATACAAATGTATATGTTCAAGTGTAAATGTGCATTGTTATCATTTTCATTAATAATTCATAAGATTAATTTATCAATAAATATATTTTTTGTATCTAAATATAGAGATTAAATATTGATTTTTTGATGACATTATCAAACCTTCATTTATATGTAAAATTGTATCATTTATTAAGAAATGTTTATTAAAAATATATTTATTACGATTAATATCACACAAGCATATAAATAATAATTGTTTTCTTAGTTACTAGAAATATATTAATTATTTATGTGAAAATACTGTTTACAAAAAATATTGACATTTCAATATTGATTTTTACAACAATAAAAATCCAAATAAATACTATAAATAAATAATTTATACGAAAAAGTGATTTAAAAACATATATTTGTTTGTTTTTTGCAAAAACCACAGAAACTATAATTAATATGTTTTATTTGTCAACAATTTTATTTTTAATAAAAATTTTAAAAATTACAGATAAATAACAGATTGAGTACATTTAGTGCAAACAAACAAATATAAAATATATTAAAATATTCTAAATAAACTTTATTAATAAAAAATTATATTTTAACCAAACAAAAAATAAAACAATATCATTTAAAAACATTATTTATCATTAAATAATATGAGCTAATATTCAAACATTTAATTAGTACTATATTTTTACAATAACTACAAAATTAAACGTATATTTCACTGAAATATTAGGTAATTCGCAATCAAAAGGGGAATATTATAAAGAGGCCTTGATAATAAGCTACGTACATGATACATAGGGGAATAAAACAAGTTATAAACTGAATAATGTCCTAAAACCTTTGATAATAAGCATTATTATCATCAATAGCTGTGAATCCACGACACGAGCCGTCAATTGAAAGCAAACTCCTCTTTTGGCACAATTAATGTGTGTTTTCATCAAATATTTTATTTACAGTACATTTATATATGTGTTTGTGCGGAATAAAAAAATAAAAGTATATTGTTTTTAGTAAACTACCATATTTTATTTGAAAATTAAACCTAGGTAAACTTGTATTCATTAGTGCATCTGCACTACTCGTGTGTGTAATTTATCGCTTGAAATGATATTGTTTTTTGTGTTGCAATCGGTATTCACGCGTCAACCAAAATATTAAACAGGCAGTGAAAGTGCATTGGGTTTTGGTATCTGATTACCAGAATTTCAAACAAAAAACACATTAATATTTCCACTTTTTATGGATATTATATGAAGTTTTAATGTTAATTGAAGTGACGAGTGCTTGAAATCCATTACCGGCACTAATGATCATATTTTACATCAAAAAATCAAAAACATTTATAATTTCATAACAAGTATAACGTATGAGTGATAGAGGAGTGCCTAAGTTTTGTGCCGTTTGCGGTCACAAAGCCCTGGGTATGCATTTTGACAAATGTTTATTATAATCAGTTACATAAAATGTATTACATAAAATTCATCTACTATGTAATAAATTTTAGTATTGATTATAACAAGATGTTAATACAGAATGTTAATACATCTCTATTGTATGATCATGATTATTTTTAGGCAAAAATTTCGGAGCCCTATCGTGTGAGCCCTGTAAGGCCTTCTTCAGACGTAACGCATTGAAAGACAATGTAATATAAGTTTTATTTTATTTTGTTTTATATATTTTTAATTACTTTTTGTATGGATTATTGCAAATGTGTGCATAATTATAATGTGAATTACAATTTTTGAAATGTCAGCTGAAATGTCACTTCGACTCCAACTGTAAGATCAATGAAATTACGCGAAAATTTTGCTCGAAGTGTCGGTTAGAGAAATGTCTGGCAATTGGGATGAGACGGGTATTCAATAAATTAATTATTATTTTAATATTAAATTATTTTATAAATTTTAATATATTTTAAGGATTTCATCGTAAATGAAGAGGAAAAGGATTGGCGACGAGTGAAGAACTTTAGGGCTAATCCCAAGACTACTGACATAACAGATAATTTATCATCGGATCAGTCGTGCGAACCGTCGGACCCGTCGCCGGACATCAATGATTGTCTCTACGATTTGCTCGACGACAACAGCTTCAGTGTCGATGAGCTTAACAAACAGATTATGGACATCGAGAGCGGTTTCATCAGTTCTTCACAGATGGAAATAATCGCCAAAACCAATGATAACACAGAAATTAGTGATGAAGTGATGCAAAGGGCCGTCGAGTTTGAATTGGCAGTCATACCGATCGCCCGACCGGTGGCCGAGTATCACAACCCGTTCAACGAAACCGAGTCCCACCTATTGAGCGAACTAATGAACTCGGTCAAACTAATCGGCCAGCCAATGAGCAAGGTCACTATGGAGATTACCAACTTCGATGAGTATAATCGCACCGTTAGCTACAAGTTTGACCGCGGGGTCCGTAATATGGCCAGAGCTGCCAAAGGGTTGCGTGGGTTTAGGGCTCTACACCTCGACGATCAGATCAATCTACTTAAGTATGGCTGCATTGAAGCCCTATTGATGCGGACAATTAAACATGTTGATTATGGCAGACAGTTGGTGATATTGCCCTGGGTGAGTTTGCATTTGATTGTGTAGTTAATATGTAAAGTTTATAATTAATGTGTATATTTTTTGTTACTTTTAGGATGGTGAGAATTCTCTAGTATTTAAACTCGCTCATTTGAAATTATTTCGGCCATACGATAGTTATGATGCATACATGAGATATATGCATAAAATGACAGACCTATGGGATTCCGACCCCGTTATTCTTGATTTGGTTAGTCATACATAAATATAAATTAATTTAACTTGCTGACATGTTTAATTAAAATAGATGCTGGCACTCATATTGTTTAACCCTGATCGTCCAAACCTTATTAACAGAGATGGTGTTAAGTAATTGACGTTTACTATTATTTATAAATTATTTGTGATATTAATTAAATATATTAATTGTTTTATTCATTCATACGATAGACGGCAACAACACGTATACATGTATTTACTTCAACGCTATTTAATACTGAAATATCAATCAGAATGTGAGGCGAAGACCCGATTCTTGAGACTCATGAATGTCTTATCGGACATAAACCTCATGAGAGAGATCCAGAGGAGACACGCCATGCATTTGTATCAATTATCACTCGTCACACCTCTTCTCCAAGAAGTGTTTGACATATTGCCCACTCCTATGGAACCGATGGGTGATTCCCAACAAACCATACCTCCGATACCATTATAAATATTAATTTTTATAATTAAGTGTTATAATTTTATCTATAAATTTTATCATCATGATTATCACTTTATCTATTGTTGTGACATTTACCATAAGTTATATTTAAGTTAATTGTAATTAACCTAAATTCTATTTATGAAAATTACAAATAAAACCCATTTTTCAACAAAGTCTTGGCATTTACTAACTTGTAAGGGGTCTGGAAATGAAGGTAAAGTTTATTAATTAATTAATTATTATTAATTAATTTTAACAGTATAAAATACAATTGTAACTATATATAGTAAATTACATCACAAATTATGCAATCATCTTATGGTTTATAATTTAATAAGGTATAGAAATGTTATAGAAAAATACGGAAATCTACAGAAAACACAATTATTTTAGTAAACTATAAAAAATCATAGACTTTTTGTACTAACAATAATAATTGTAAATACAATGTATACCCGTTTCTTATTATTCATTATAAGTAAAAATATCGTTAGGTTTTTCCACAATAATAGTAGTTATATAAAAAAACTATTTTTTCATCATTAATGCCCTTGAACATATGCCATCAATTTAATGTTTAAACAAGTTTCACCACTTTATATGTTTGTCTCCCGATTCTCTCCGCCAACAAAAAACATAATTATAAACACAATTTTGGTTTATATTCATGTCATCCATACGTTTTGTGTACAAAGTCTTGGATTTTTGAGTTTACATTTTGCTTTGAGTTAATAATCATTTTATTTTTCAATTATTTTAAATGAATTATTAAATTATTTTTATGGCTAATGTAAAGCTTTACATATTCTTTACTTAATATACTTTTCATGGATTAGACAATTGTTTTGTAGAAAGTCTTTGACAAGAAAGTAATGACTGATTAAATAGTTATTGATTTTAATTATTAGAAGTGTTTTGAACATGTTTATTGTTTTATTCTTATCATGCTTAATGAAGCATATTAATAAACATTATATTTTCCGAAGTGTTATTTAAATAATTTTTTACTTGCTTTATGTGTGACAATTATTAATATTATTGTGTTTTAATGGGTTATAATGTAAACTCATTTTTAAATAATCATCATTAAGTTTAATTGTAATTATTATTGTAAAAAACAATTAGATAAATAAATACTAATTAAATTAAAATGTGTGAAAAATCGGTGCATAAATTGTGTAGCGTTTGTGGAGATTTGGCATTAGGTATGATATCGTGTAAAATTGATTTAAATAAATCTATAATAAGTTAACTAAACAATATGTATAAATATATTATAATTTAAAGTGAAAATAACTAAATAGTGTAAAATTTATTACTATTAAAGGCAAAAACTTCGGCGCCCTATCGTGTGAGCCCTGCAAAGCATTCTTCAGGAGAAACTCGTTTAAAGTTAATGTAATATAAAATGCATTTTCATTTAACAATTATAAAACTATTAAATGGGATCATCTTCTGTGCAATTATAGCTTAAATGTCATTTCGACAACAATTGCAGTATAAATGCCATAACGAGAAAGTTTTGCTCAAAATGTCGATTAGATAAATGTGTGGCCATCGGAATGAGACGGGTATTGATAATTGTTTGATTAATTACAAAGTTTTACATTTTTAATGATTTGATAATTAAACACAGGAATGGGTGGCCAATGAAGAGGAACGGGAGCTCAAGAGACTTATAAAATTGACAATAAGTGGCATAAATAATACTAACGATGGAAACCAAGTGTTAAAATCAGCAATAAATTTATCACAAGATATATGGGATGAAAATGACAGCACAAACACTACGACTATTGACACAGACTTCATGAGTGAAATACTGGATGACAACAATTTCAGTGTCGATGCACTCAATGAACAGATTATGGACATTGAGACCAGTTTTTGCGCAAATGATTGCATTGATAGTCAAGTGATAAACAGATCTGATTATCAGACAAACCATATCTCAACAGATAATCACCAAAACAGTGAAAATTATACCCAAAACTCATTAACACATTATTCACCTGAAAGAGTCGACGAGAAAGTAGTGTCGGATTATGAGATGCCTGTCATACCCATCGGCCGACCCATCGATGGCCACAAAAGTGATTTCAACGAGATTGAAATGCGCATGGTGACCGAGGTGATCCAATCGGCCACGAATATGGGTGGCCCGTACGCCAAACTGGTCTTCGAGATCGACGACAATCATAGCTTTCAAACTGTTTTTTCGGCAAAGTTTGACAAATGTGTGCGAAATGTGACCAAAGCTACGAAAGGGTTGACCGCATTCAACACCATCTGCGAAGACGACCGCATCTTACTATTGAAGTACAGCTGCATTGAAGTGATATTCTTGCGGTCCATTCTCTACTTCAACGGCAATATTGATTATCTCAAACTTCCGATGGTTTGCTATTATATTACTCTATCTTAATAAACAATAATTGTGATTAATTAAAAATGTTTAATTTAGGATATGGAACGCTCATTCATTATAACCATGAAGTTTTTAAAAAATTACCCACACTTTTACACTCCATTTACAGAATATGTAAGAAAAATGTTGACTATTTGGGACTCCGATCGCACTGTTATTGATTTGGTATTTGTTTTATAAGAAATAATTACTAACAAGTAACATTGTAAGATTATATAATTTAACAATCCATTATAGATGTATTCAATCTTGGTGTTCAATCCAGATCATTCTAAACTCAATCATAGAGATGTTATAAAGTATACTAAATTTTTATGCTTGACATTTGAGAATAATTTTATTTTTATTAAATAATTATTTAATAATTGTAATATTTGTGATCATAGACTCCAACAACACATTTACATGTATTTACTTCAACGCTATTTATTACTGAAATATCAGTCAGAATCGGTGGCAAAGACCCGATTCTCGCAATTCATGAACATTTTGACGGAACTAAACGTCTTGAGAGACATCCAGAGGACGCATACTTTGGATCAATCACTGAATGTTACACCACTTCTCCTAGAAGTGCTCGATTTAAAGCCAAATCAAATTGTTTCTAATTGTTATTAATTATCATAACAATAATATTTGTATTTAAAATACATGTAATGTTAATGTAATCGCATTTATCATATTGTAAATACTTTAATTGCATTTTATGTTGTATTTAAACAGAATCCCTATTCCAAAGGCTTTTTAAAATCTATTTTTTAAATAACATTCTGAATAAAACTATGAAATATTTAACAATTACAAATAAACAATTAATTTAATTGTTTTCAAATAACCTTTTGTGTTTTGTGATTTATTGTATATTAAATTAATTTGCAATTATTTTTAATTTAAAAAAGTTCTATAAATAAAACAAGTTTCATGTTCAATTGTTTTGTGGTTTTTACATAATTAATATATTTGATGCTATTTTTATATCAATAATGCAATAATCATGTAATACATATGTGATTCCCAAATACTTAATATAATCAAAAATATTTGATATATAAATTATAAACACTCTAACTCTTTTAATTGTCTAATTACGACAATCAAAACTTGTTTTTTAAATAGACTAAACATACTTTCTCAAAATTTAAAGTATAAAACATAATTATTTATATCCCATAATAACACTACGGTTAAAAGTTTTTATTTAAGAATATGGAAATCAACTATTCACATTTTCAAATTTCAATGGCCTTGACAATAGGCTGTTAATTCAATGCTTAAAACTAGTTATACAGGCAATCTGTGCCCGATTCTCAACCATCATTAATAAATACATTAATGATAATAATTGAAACATAACACAACACAGTGTTATACGCAAACTCTTGGTTAATATCGACAGTATATTTCTGGTACTAAAATCATTAAATCAGTGATTGTACACATGGTTTAGGGGAAAATATTTCAATTGGTTTTGATTTGAGTCTTTGTTGTGTATATTTTTAGTGTTTTTTTCAGTGTATTATTTAAATTGAATGTTGTATATTCACTTTCATCGAGAATATTAATGTTATTATTTATTTATTAAAATTTTATTTTTGTGTCAACGCAAATACACGATATATAAAGTAACTATATTTAGTAGTTGTAGTATTAGTTTGAAAACATCATTGTAAATGTTTGGGTACATTTTTTATTTTTCACAAGTTTTTTTGTGTCAATATTAAATAAAATGTAATAATAAATATTTATTATTATTATTAATTGGTTAAATATAATTATTATTTTATTGTTTACCTAGGGCTATTGTTAATATAATGGGACTATTATAATTATATGGGTGTTTCAATGCAAACAAGTTGTAACAAGTTGTCAAGAATTCAAGCATTCAATTGACTACTAATAATAATAATAATGTTAAAAACTAAAACATGTTAAAACAATAATATTGTTAATTATTGAAAAATGTGCGACAAATCAGCGCATAAAGTGTGTGGTGTTTGCGGACACTCGGCTATGGGTATGACTTATATAATTAGTTTTGTAAATATATCATCATTTTATTTGCTAAAATATTTAAACTATTTTAATTTAACAATTAAATCATTAATTATACCATTAATTAAAGGCAAAAACTTTGGCGCCGTTACGTGTGAGCCCTGTAAAGCATTCTTTAGGAGAAACGCGTTGAAAGACAATGTAATATAAATATATTATTTATGCTTTTATTAATTTTAATTAAATAGTGGTTTTAAATTATAACTTTTAATTATTCTGTGAAATTATAGCTCATTTGCCATTTTGACAACAAATGCAAAATAGATGTCATAACCAGAAAATTTTGCTCTAAATGTCGTTTAGATAAATGCCTGGCCATCGGAATGAGACGGGTATTCATATTATGTTTAATTTAATACAAGTTTTAAATAATGTACTAATTATTTGCTTATAATTCAAGGAATGGATACTCAATGATGAGGAACGGGAGCTCAAGAGACTTAAAACAATGACAAATAAAATACAGAGAAATAGTTTAAATAATTCAATAACTAATGAACTAAATAATGAACATGGTCAAAATACAACACCATATTTATCTCAGGAAACTTTACGCATTGAAAATCACATCTCAAGCGCCAGTACTTCCGACTCAGACTTGTTGTGCGAAATACTCGACAATAACTTCACTATCGATGCACTCAATGAACAGATTGTTGACATCGAGACCAGTATTGATGTCAACCAATTCATCGACGATATAGTAATCAATGAATTCAGTGATCAAACCATCGCTACCTCAACAGCAAATAACTCGCCAAACAGTGACAACACATTCACCACATTTGCCGTATCCGACAAAGTGTTTGACAAAGTGGTCGAGTTTGAGATGTCTGTCATACCGATCGGGCGACCCATCGATACCAGCAAAACCAGTTTTAACCAGATGGAAATGAACTTGCTCATCGAGCTGCTCGAAGCGACCAAGCTCATGGGCTTACCATTACGGGGCGCAACCATCGAGATCAACAACACCGACGACTATTACTCCATTATGGGCTATAAGTTTGACCGAGCGATCAGAACCCTTACTAGAGTTGTCAAAGGGTTGTCCGCATTCAACACCATCTGCGAAGAGGACAAGATTTTGCTCCTGAAGTACAGCTCAATACAAGTGATATTCTTGCGGTCCATTCTCTACTTCAACGATACCGCCGATTGTGTTCGGGTTCAAGTGGTCAGTAGTCCTGATAATTATCATGTTTTATGGTTTGGTTTTGAGATAATGGATACCATGTTGTTTTGATTAGGATCGTGATAAATCGTTTGTATTGAGCATGGACTATTTAAAAAACTTTAACGTTTACAACGCTTACAAAAGTTATATACAGAAAATACAAGCCGTTTGGGACTCCGATAGGACTATCATTGATTTGGTATACAATTATTAAATTTAGTTTAAAACATAATTATATTTTGTGCCTAATGTGTTCTAGATGTATTCAATAATCGTGTTCAATCCTGATCATTGTAACCTAGCCAACAAAAATGTCATCAAGTAAGTTTAATTATATTTATTATTTTTCTGTGTATTTATTTTGCGTGCAATTGATATTGATTTTAATATAAATCACAATACAATTGCATTTTTGACATTTCCATTATTTACCATATATTTAACGATATTGTGTTTATGACATATCTGTCACACATAGACTTCAACAACACATTTACATGTATTTACTTCAACGGTATTTGCAATGCAAATATGGATCCGATTGCGAGGCGAAGACACGATTCCTGCAACTCATGAATGTTATCATCGATTTAAATGTCTTAAGAGAGGTTCACAAGAGGAATATCGAAGAGAGTGCGAAGATATCGATTCCACCGCTTCTCGAGGAAGTACTAGACATCAAACCCGTTCAACAACGACAACAATATTCACTCACTGTTTTATAAGCAATTTTATGTTTTTACCTCATTTTACACATTTATTAAATGATTTATTAATGATTAAATATTTTATTCATATTTTATTTCATATGATAAATGTATTTTTTGTTAATTTTTGTTGCACAATTATATTTACTATATAAGTATTTAATGAATATTTAATCTCGCATTTATTTTGTTCAATAAATGTACCATTTATTATACATATGATTACAATTTGTTTCAATGAAATATCTTTTTTGAATTATATTTTGTATAATATTATGATTTCATTTAATAATGTAAAGTTTATTTGTAAATAATTTATTTATTAAATGTAAATTTTATATAATGTTTGAGTACTATTGTATGGTTTATTAATAGCATTTAAATATACTAATGTTTAATAAACAGTACAACATTCCTGTAATACAGTACATGCAATGTTTGAATATCTTGTTTGTTTTAAAATTAATTACATGAACAATTAATTTCATTAATAGTTAATTCGTTTGTCGCCATTAAAGCTGTTCCTTCATCAACACCGGGTGTTGTAATCCTTATCACAGGCTTTACTCCACAGAACCATTAAATTAGCCAATAATTGTGTTAGGAATCGGTTTTAAATCAAAGACTTCTTGTAGAAGTGGTGAGATATTCAGTGAATGATTCAAAGTATGCGTCCTCTGGATGTCTCTCAAGACGTTTAGTTCCGTCAAAATGTTCATGAATTGCGAGAATCGGGTCTTTGCCTCCGATTCTGACCGATATTTCAGTAATAAATAGCGTTGAAGTAAATGCATGTAAATGTGTTGTTGGAGTCTATTAAAAGAATATTACAATTATTAAATAAAATATAAAGTATTATTAAGTGTCAAAATATTACTTGACAACAGATCTATGGACGAGATTGCAATGATCTGGGTTAAACAACAAGATTGGATACATCTGAAATAAACTTCATAATTAGTTGTTTATTAATCATATAACTTATACCAAATTAATGAGAATGCGATCGGAGTCCCAAACAGTCAACATTTTTGTTACAAAATTTTTATACGAGGTGTAAATATTCTGGTAATTTTTCAAAAAGTCCATGGTTAAAATGAAAATGCTATCCGTGTCCTATAATGAACATGGTTACAATACACATACTGTATATAATTATAATTACAATAAATTTTCATAATAAAGTAAAACTAAGCTGTATTTGAAATGCAGTATTTTTATGACACAAACCCTTTGAAGTCGGAGATAATCGGCGGTATCGTTGAGGCAGAGAATGGACCGCAAGAATATCACTTCAATGCAACTGTACTTCAATAGTAAGATGCGGTCGTCTTCGCAGATGGTGTTGAATGCGGTCAACCCTTTCACAGCTTGGGATACATTTCTCACATAATTGTCAAACTTTTCGGTGAATAAAAAGTTAAAATCATTATTATCACTGATAAACACAGAAGTTGTCCCGAATGATCGAAATTCAGTCGATTGGATCAGTTCAGTGATTATGTAGATTTCGGTTTCGTTGAAATCACTTTTGTGGTCATCGATGGGTCGGCCGATGGGTATGACAGGCATCTCATACCCTAACACTACTTTTTCGCCGACACTTTCCGGTGAATAATAATGTGTTAATAGGTTTTGCGTATAATTATCACTATTTTGATTATTATCTTTTGAGATATGGTTTGTCTGATAATCACAATTGTTTATTACTTGACTATCAATGCAATCATTTGTGCGAACACTGGTCTCAATGTTCACAATCTGTTCATTGAGTGCATCGATAGTGAAGTTATTGTCGAATATTTCGCACAAAAAGTCTGTGTCGGAGATACTGGTGATTGAGATGTGATTTTCAATGCATGAAGTTTCCTGAGATGAATATAGTGTTGTATTTTGACCATGGTCATTATTTGGTTCATTATTTATTGAATTATTTAAACTATTTCTCTGTATTTTATTTGTCATTGTTTTAGGTCTCTTGAGCTCTCGTTCCTCATCATTGATTATCCAGTCCTTGAATTATAAGCAAATAATTAATAAATTATTTAAAACTTGTATTTAAAACATAATATGAATACCCGTCTCATTCCGATGGCCAGGCATTTATCTAAACGACATTTTGAGCAATATTTTCTGGTTATGACATCTATTTTGCAGTTGTTGTCAAAATGACATATAAGCTATAATTTCACAGATAATAATTATAAGTTATAATTAATTACCACTATTTAATTAAAATTAATAAAAGCATAAATAATATATTTATATTACGTTTATTTTCAACGAGTTTCTCCTAAAGAATGATTTGCAGGGCTCACACGAAACGGCGCCGAAGTTTTTACCTTTAATTAATAATTTTAATCTTAAATATATTTTTCCAATTATTATGTATTTTTACAATAAAATATATTTTTATATCTTTTTTGTTCAAATATTTTTGTAAATAAAATGATTATATGTTTACAAAACTAATTATATAACTCATACCCATAGCCGAGTGCCCGCAAACACCACACACTTTATGCACTGATTTGTCGCACATTATTAACTAATTAACAATTATTTTGTTAACATGTTTTAAGTTTTAATTTTCAACAATTATTTTTAATAGTCAATTGAATGCTTGAATTCTTGCCAACTTATTGCAAGACGTTTGCATTGAAACTCCCATATAATTATAATAGTCCCATTAGATGAACTTGGTAAATAATACATTCATTATTAAATTTACCGATGAGTTGTATATATTCTATCTTTATTAACACATTTTTTCAATATTGACATAAAAACTTGTAAAACATTAAAAAAAATATACGCAAACATTTATATTGAATTTTTTAAGTTACAACTAAACTGTACTAGTTATATATCGTGTATTTACGTTAAATTAAAAATAAATATTAAAATAAATAAATAATAACATTGATATTCTCGATGAAAGTGGATATACGTTAGTTGTAAATAGCATTTAATTTAAATAATACACTAAAAAAATAAAAATATCCACAACAAAAACTCAATTCAAAACTAATTGATATATTTTTCCTTCTTAACCATGTGTACAATCACTGTATTATAAAACTGGAAATGATTTAATGATTTTAGTACCAGAAATATACTGTCGATATTAACCAAGAGTTTGCGTATAACACTGTGTTTATGTTGTGTTTCAATTATTATCATTCATGTATTTATGAATGATGGTTGAGAATCGGCCACAGATTGCCTGTAAAACTAGTTTTAATCCATTAAGCATTGAATTAATAGCCTATTGTCAAGGCTATTGAAATTTGACAATGTGAAATTCACATTGTGAATAGTTGAATTTCATATTCTTAAGTAATAACTTTTAACCGTATTGTTATTATAGGATATAAGTAATTATGTTTTATACCCTAAACTTTAAGAAAGTATGTTTTTTTTATTTTTAAAAAATAAGTTATAACTATCATAATTAGATGGGTATAGTTATAGTGTTTATAATATTTATATCAAATACTTTTGATTATATTAAATATTTGGGAATCACATAATTATTACATAATCACTGCATAATTGGTACACAAATAGCATTAAATGTATTAAATTGTAAAAACACAAAACAATTGCACATGTTTTAATTTTAGAATTTTTTTTGCATACATAAAATGCAATTATCATTTATGATAAATGCTATAGCAATAACATAAATTACATTAGATAGTAAATACAGATATTATGGTTATAATAATTAATGACAATTAGAAACAATTGTGATTCGGCTTTAAATCGAGCACTTCTTGTAGAAGAGGTGTGACATTCAGTGATTGATCCAAAGTATGCGTCCTCTGGATGTCTCTCAAGACGTTTAGTTCCGTCAAAATGTTCATGAATTGCGAGAATCGGGTCTTTGCCTCCGATTCTGACCGATATTTTAGTAATAAATAGCGTTGAAGTAAATGCATGTAAATGTGTTGTTGGAGTCTATAAAACAATATTACAATTATTAATTAAAATAAGAAGTATTATTAAGTGTCAAAATATTACTTGACAACAGCTCTATGTGCGAGGTTACAATGATCTGGGTTAAACACCAAGATTGGATACATCTGGAATTAATTTTAAAAATTCTATAAACTTCATAATTAATTGTTTATTATTAATCACATAACAAATACCAAATTAATGACAGTGCGATCGGAGTCCCAAATAGTCAACATTTTTGTTACAAAATTTTTATACGAAGCATAAAAATTGTGGTAATTTTTCAAGAAGTCCATGGTTAAAATGAAAATGCTATCGGTGTCCTATAATAAACATAGTTACTTAATCTACAAAATTACAATTAATTATTATAATATAAAAACAAAGTATTATTTCTGGGACACAAACCCTATAAAGTTTGATATAATCGGCGGTATCGTTGAGGCAGAGAATGGACCGCAAGAATATCACTTCAATGCAACTGTACTTCAATAGTAAGATGCGGTCGTCTTCGCAGATGGTGTTGAATGCGGTCAACCCTTTCACAGCTTGGGTTACATTTCTCACATATTTGTCAAACTTTTCGGCAAATATAAAGTTAAAGCCATTATTATCACTGATAAACACAGAATTTGTGCCGAATGATCGAAATTCAGTCGATTGGATCAGTTCAGTGATTATGTAGATTTCAATCTCGTTAAAATCACTTTTGTGGCCATCGATGGGTCGGGCGATGGGTATGACAGGCATTTCATACCCTAACACTACTTTCTCGCCGACACTTTCCGGTGAATAATAATGTGTTAATGAGTTTTGCGTATAATTATCACTGTTTTGTTGATTATCTGTTGAGATATGGTTTGCCTGATAATTTGCGCTAATACTGGTCTCAATGTCTATAATCTGTTCATTGAGTGCATCGACACTGAAATTGTTGTCATCGAGTATTGTGGACAACAAGTCTGTGTCTAAAGTAGTCGTATCTATGATATTATTTTCAACCAATACTTCCCTGGTTGAATTTACAACTTTATTTTTAGCATGGTTAATATTTGTTGGCAACTTTTTAACTCTCTTCAGCTCCTTTTCCTCATCACTCGGTATTAATTCCTGTTTAAACAATCATTTAATTGTTATATTTTATATTGAATTAAACATAATATGAATACCCGTCTCATTCCGATGTCCAGGCATTTATCTAAACGACATTTTGGGCAAAACTTTCGGGTTATGGTATCTATACTACAATTGTTGCCAAAACGACATTTAAACTGAAATTTCACAGATAATGATTACAATTAATAGTTTTAATTAGTTTTAGTTATAATAAATATAAATTTATTTTATTTTACATTATTTTTCAATGCGTTTCTCCTGAAGAATCCTTTACAGGCCTCACACGATAGGCCGCCGAAGTTTTTGCCTTTAATTGAATTAATTGTTTAATATAATTATTCAAACAATTAAATATTATTTAGATTAAAATTATAAATTGTAGAATAAACTACATTATATTTTGGTAAACTATGGTAAAATTTCTATTAAGTTAACTATAAATCATACCCAATGCCGAGTGTCCGCAAACACCACACACTTTATGTACTAATTTTTCACACATTTTTATTAAACTTTTAATTAGATTTTATTTACAATGTATTAATTTAAATGTAATAGTTTAAATTCAAAAATACAATACTTAATACATCAAATCAACGCATGAATGCTACGAATAATTACAAATTAAATTAGTATTTGTTGTAATGATTATTGATGGCGGAGAGAGTCGATTGTCAAACAACAGGCAAAACATTGAATTAATAGTACAAGGTCGTTAAATATAATACATTTACATTGTATAAAATAGTCTATCTGATAAAATTTATCGATAAGTTATTATACAATTATAATTTGTTTGTTTAATTTGTTTGAATGAAATGTCACTTAATATTTGAAATCTCTATAAGAAATCGATAAACATATAGCGAAATGATAAGAATATTTCACACATATTTGACAGACAACTGACCGTTCCTTACAGAGAGGATGCACTGTATCTGTAATGACAATCGGAGTATATAATGATGAAAATGAGTGCCAAAAAACAATTTTATGTCGACTTTAATTCATGGACTTCTCGGGAGAAGAGGTGTGAAATGAAGTGATTGACTGATTCATAGCACCCGTCATTTGAATCTCTAATTATTACTCAAATATTATCATTCATTCAAAAACTCAATCACTTAAATACAAAGTATGTTAACTTATATAATCAATAATTTATTAATAATTATTTAATTTAAATTTAAATACATAACAAATGACATGAAATGTTCACAAATTATCAATTTTGTGGACAAACTTTTTATGACTAAACAAATAGGCGGAAGCGGTGGTCGTGTACTCACATCCGGGCCATTGGCACACAAATGGGCGCACATTGTTGTGCACATTCTTGTGCTCCCGTAGTCGACGGCTGTCTTTATAAGTTTTGTCGCAATCGGGCCAATCGCACACAAACGGTCGCTCACCCGTATGCTTACGCTTATGGCCGTTGAGGTGTATACCCGTCCACTTACATCCGGGCCAATCGCACGGCTGTTTTCGCTGCTTTGTCTTTCGCATCGGCGGCCGCTTATTGTGGACATCGATCTGGTGTTTGAGCCGTTGGTCGGCCCTAAAGAACCACTCGTCGCAGCCGTCGGCGCCGCACGCAATGGTAGGCTCGTCCAGATGTAAGCGCGAGTGAGCCCTAAGACCGTGGGATGTCTTGAATGACTTGTCGCAGCCGTCGACCGGACAGCGATACTGTTGGCCACTTGTATGCGATTTCATGTGTTTGTACACAACCCGATCGCTAACACCCCGATAGTCGCAGCCCTCGTAATGACACGCATACGATCGCACCGTCCGGTGGGACAGCATATGCTCAGTGAGTCCGCCGTTTGTCTTAAACCCTTTACCGCATCCCTCGTGAGCGCACATGTGCTGCCTTTGGGCGTGAAATGTGTACAAGTGTTGCAAAAACTGGCGGTCCTTTTGGTAACTCTTGTGGCACTCATTGATGGGACAAATGAATAGATTTTTGGTTACATTAAAGCATTTCTTTC